GCCTGGGTTCTTGGGGAGCAGGAGGCACGTGGCCCAGGCTCCCTTCCTCATGAAGGGGGTGGGCTGCTAAGGAGGCCCCTTCGGGGTGGCTTGGAGCGGGGGTAGAATTCATGGAGCAGTTCCAGGCGGCATTGGGTCCAACCTTCTGTCCCCTCCCAGCCACCATGTCTACTCCCAGCAGCCAGGCAGCTATATCTAGGGAGCTCCACCCTGATACTAGTGGGAGGCAAGTCTTCTCAGAATCCCCTCTGCCAGGACTGCTGGGAGAGTAAATCTGCCGCTAGATTGGGACCATGTATACTCACTCCATTAACACATCCAACTGTCACCAACATGTACCGCATGCAGCCCAGGTCTCTCCAACAGCACCCCACCAATGGACAGACAGCTGGACATGATCCCCTATCAACCCATGGACACCCCGCAGCACATTTCACCTTCAGAAGGAGAGAGGTTGGACCAAAATGATGACACACCTTTCCCAGAGAAAAGCCTTCGCTCATGGCCAGGGCCAGCATCCTCCATGACCTTCTGTGCCTGGTTCCTAACCATGTGCCTGGCTCCTAACCATGAGCCTGGCTCCTGACCATGAGCCTGGCTCCTAACCATGTGCCTGGCTCCTAACCATGTGCCTGGCTCCTAACCACGGCTGTCAGGCCTCCCACAGCCCTGCACTGGGCTCCCGAGGGCAGGGTCAATACAAACGTGCTCGCTAATCTCTTGGCACACAGGGGAGTCTTGAATTAAATGGTTCAAATGCTTTTTCCATGACTTTGGCCATCTTTCCCTTTATGCATCAAATCTCCAATTTATGACCCTTTGGACAGGGACTGGGCTGAAGCCTGCTCCTGGACCACTCGGACAAGAAAGGCTTTTCGAAGAAAATTGATCATTTGCCAAAAGAACTGTAAAGGGAATGCTTATCCATTTTTAAGGGGGAGCCCCTTTTTAGCCCTTTACTACCCTGTTTCCCCCAAAATAAGACAGTGTCTTATATAATTTTTCCTCCCAAAGTTGCGCTAGGTCTTATTTTCAGGGGATGTCTTATCTTTCCATGCCCTAGGTCTTATTTTCGGAGGATGTCTTATTTTTGGGGAAACATGGGTAGCTCACGTGTACCCACACACAACCGATATACTAATTACAAATGACTTTTACATGCTCATTAAGTCCTCAACTACTATTGGCCCACTTGATTATTACAGTTTGAGCTGGCCTCAAAACAGCTTTCCACTTTGAGCCTAAACTTCTTGGGTACAACCTTCCGGATTAAGCGATCAACAAGGTGACTCATCCACACCAGGAAAAATGCCTCCGCCTCCTCGGTGCGGGCAGAATCCAAGGACTTATTGATGCGCGCTGCTCTCTCCCAGCTGGGCTGGGGTGAGGTTTGGCCTTGGTGACCCTCAACCCGGTTTGCCTGGGATCCGTTCCTGTTAGTCTCCCTGGGAGAACTACTCACAGTCATCCCTTCATTTCAGTATTGGCAGAAACCATAGGCTTTGTAGTCACTCTAGATTCGATGAAACTAGGGATTAAAATTGTGATTTTTCCAGGAGGTTGAGCCTCCTCTGGACTGGCAGCACCTGGCCATCTCTATGCAAACCCGAAGAACACTCCCTAAAGATGCTGCACCAGTCTTCGCTGGATCCAACCATTCTTCCACTGAGTCAGCTCAGCAAGCAGTTCCCTTTCTCTCAGGGAGGGGATTCGGGGACCTCTCCCCAGGGATGTGTGTTAATTCCATCCCCATGTAGTTGCCTGTCAGGAGTTGAAATCCTATCGTTGCATTGCCAGCATTAAGGGGGTGAGGAGGGCAGTGGGTGGCACAGTCCTGGGAGGAATGGCTGATGTCCTCTGGCCGTCTCAGCTCTGACTGCCTATGTTAAGGCGATGCCTAGCAAACGACCGCTCTGCCTGCACACCCATCGTGGGGAGTGCTCCACCTCCTCCATCCTCAGACCGCCCTGCCTGAGGCGCTGCTGTCATTATTTCTATTTCCCAGCTGACAAAAGGGCTCAGCAAGGCAGCACCACTTGTCCAGGACACTCAGCTGCGTGGCAGAACGAGCAGACACCCAGGTTGGTCTGGAGCCCAGGTCTGAACTCGTAACCACTGTGATGTGCTGCCACCCACTCCGCTATACTGCTCTGACATTTGAGTCAGACATCTGCTTGCAATTTGATACATTATAAGGCTATTGCCTCATCAAGTATGCCTCCCAGAGAGGGCTGAGGGGGAGGGGAGCAGGGGCTGCTGCGCTCCCGGTGCCTGTGTGATGTATGCACATCGCCATGGAATCAGCGAATTGCATGTAAGTGTCTATCCTGGCAGTCAATTATCTTCGGAGAGAGACTTAGCACATCCCGGGGAAGTTCGTTCAGGGGGTAGCCCTCATCCATAAACAAACAAGTGTGTAACCCACACTACTGGCTGGTGGGGCACCCGCCTCCTCCCCGTCTTCCCGCAGACAGTGACAGGAGCAGATGCTGACTGTGAACTGGGCTTGACTCAGGGAACTAAACAACATTTCTGATGAGACCAAGTCCCCAGGCTGCCTCTGGAGGAAGCCACTGGGGCCCAGCCAATGCTATGCTCGTGCCTCTGTCCCTTCCCTTCCCAAGACCTTTGCTTTAGAAACACGGTACTTGCACCCGTAAGTAAGCACAGCACAGTAAGAAGGGGGTGGACGTGGGCCATCACGGGGCGTGGCTGGTTGGGGTGAGAATGGGGTGCCCCAGGTTTTAGGTTTTGCAGACAGTCTTGTTAAAAGACTGCTCAAACTCAGCCTTAACTGAAAACTTGACTACAAATGCCCCCTGTTCACTCTCCTCACCCCCTGCCCCAAACCAGGGGTCACAGGCAGTGTACACAGTGGTTACGAGTTCAGACCTGGGCTTCAGATGAACCTGGCTTTCTGTTCGTTCTGCCACGCAGCTGAGTGTCCTGGACAAGTGGCTCTGCCTTGCTGAGCCGTTCTGACAGGTGGAAATAGAAATAATAACAGCAGCGCCTCGGGCAGGGAGGCACGGGGACTGAGGCGGGGACAGTGTGGAGTCTGTTCTAAGGGAGGCCATACCTGTTACCGAGGAGCATCCGTCTAGCAGGACATGACTGAGGGGCTTGGGCTCAGGCCTTCGTCTCAGGGATGGAGACCCAGAATGTTAGAAGAGACCAGGGTGACAAACCACCGGGTGGGGAGGGTTGGCTACTGTGAGGTTCTCAGATGGTTGAGATTGGGATTTATACAAAGATACAGCAAACATGAGAGTCGGAAGCACTTGCAGGCGATTTTTATGATTGAGAATGTGACCAAGAAAAGAGCATGCCAGTAACAGATTGACAGACAACGGGTGAGGGCACCAAGCCGGTAGGGCATTGGGCAAGCTTTGCAGAATTAAAATGCCACCAGGAATCTGCTCGCCTTTCCCCGGACCCCTGAAATCCATGGATGACTCTAGGCCAAATGCCACACTGCTGCTTTCCAGTGAAATTCCCTCTGGTCCTCTCGATAAGGGCATTATTTTTTGGCCAATGCAGCACCTGATTTGCCAACAGTAGGTGCACCCACCCCAAAGGTGGAACAAATGGCAGAAACTCAAGGAGACAAACCTGCTGACGTCAAAAACTCTCTACAAAGAACCTCCTTCCAAGCAGAGAAACATAGGCTTTTGATGGCATTGGGTGTCACTGTTCCCCCTTCTCCAGCCTGTGTCCGAGGGAGCTCCCGCCCTCCCATCCACAGACACCGGCTGCTGCTGCTTGCAGCCCCTACACCCTGTTGGCCCCTCACCACATCCCCCATTTCCAATAGCTGGTACCCATTTTTCTAAAGACCGAGATGAGCCGGCCCCCTTGCAGACCTTGAAAAGTTCTCCAGGCTGAGTTTGATTTTGGGTACGAATCCCTGTCGGTCCTCCAGCCCTCGGCCGCTGGGAAGTTCAGATCCGGCTGTACCAGAACGGGCATTCTGTCGGAAGCACTTTCCCAGACATATTTTCAATCTCCTCCCTTAATGCAGCCTGCCAGGATTAATAAATCCTCCAGTCTCCCCTGGTCCACTTCTTTCTTTATCTCCCACCAAACCACTCAGCCAACACCAGCACATGATGAGTTTTCACACCGCCTTAGTTCTCTCTGACGGAGGGCACAGCCTTTCCCCTTCATTCTCAAACTCCTCTGGATGGAACGACTCACAAAAAGAACTGGGTTTTCTCCGCCCTGGAGTGTTTCCGTGTTGCTCAGCCTTCTCTCCGTCCACCCCGTATCCTCTTCTCCCTCTTTCTGCATCCCTTTCCCTTCTCCCCATCTTCCCCTCATCACACGGTGTCCACCACCACCTAGGGATCCCTTCTCATGCCTGCCTGCAAACCGCTCGGATCCTTTTTGAGAGACCAGATGAAACTCTTCCAAGACCGTCCCTGCGATCTTGCGAGGCTCCTCCCTGACTCTTGAGCTCCGTTCCTGGTTTTGGATGCGGGTGAGGACAGAATTCAGCAGCAACACAAGCCAGAAAGGCAAGGAGCAGGGTGCTTTTTGGGGTGTATTGGAGGGACCAGAATATGGGCTTTTGTCAAAACCTTCAGAGCTCGCTCGTGTTGGAGCTGAGTATAGAAGTGTGCCGCTATCGCTGAGCACCGCTTGAGCTAGTTCAGTCCTCACCCCTGTTTGGCACCCCCAGCCTCTTCAGACTCACCATTCCTCCCGATACAAGAAAAGTTTCACAGTCAAGTCGTATCCCACCTACACCCCCACCCAAGCAAGCAACACCTCTGGGCCAGAAGCTGCCAGGTCAGCAGACAGTTGTGCAGCTCCTTGATAAAGACTCCCTGTCCCTTCTCGCCAGCTCCCACCTCATGCAAGCAATTCGTTCCCATGTTCCAGCGGGAGAGAGCGAGTAGTGACGGAAAGAAAGACTGGGCACAGTGGCCCAGCTGTCCGCATCCACCCTTCAGGGCACAGGCCAGAAAGGGGGGCCATCAGGGTAAGGGGGTCGTTACCTTGGCAGAGGCTTGCGGGCTGTGATGCTGGCGACAATGATGCTCTCAGGACGCGGCGTGGCCACAGCTTTAAAGGTTCCTCGCCAGAACTTCTCAAAGAGCTGCTTCTCGCCTTGCTGAACGCTCGCCATCGCCAACCCGAGGGCCGCTCCCGGGGCGCTGTCCGAAGTGCTGAAACGACGATTCCAAACCGGGGCGCACCGGGCCCTGGGCTCTGTCCACGCGAAACCTAGAGGGATCGGGTGGGAAAGACCGGGGTTCAGGGCGGGGGATGGGGCGCCTCAGCCGGGCAGGCGGGGGAGGAAGAAGGCTTGTGCCCGGCGATCTTCGGCTTCTGGGTCGGCTTGGGGCTGCGCGCTAAGCCCTCGGAGCCCCCGCGCGCGGCTGGGAAGGGAAGCCTGGCGTTCTCGGCGGCGCCGGGGCTGGAGAGGCGACCGGGGCGTCTGTGTGTGCGCGCGTGTGAGCTCCGGGCGCGCTGGGTTTTGTCTCTCTCACAATGTGACGTTGGAAGAGGAGGCTGGTCGCTCAAGCTGCACTTTCCTCCTCCCTCCCCTCGTCTCCTCCTCCCCGCCAGCTCCCGCCTCCTCCGGCTCAGCCCTCCGCGCCGCCATCTGCATAACAAAAGCCCGCAGGTCCTGGGAGGAGCAAGGGCGGGGCGTGCGCCTGTCACCGGGGCCCCGCGGTGACAGACTTGCGGAGCTGACCCCGGGAAAAGCCATGGGCACCCCGAACGGAACCAGGCAGCAGATCCTGCTCCCCAGCCCTCTCTCCTCCCCCACCCACCAGCGCAGGCCTCCCTCCATCCACGCCTGGGTGTGATCCAGGCGGCCACCTCCCTTCCCAGCCCCTTGGCAAGTCTCAGAGCGGATCTCCTAAGGAAGGAGAGAGAGAAAACTTAACCTCTCCCCACCCCCACACTTCTGGGAGGGGCTGCCGAGGCCAGAGACGGGGTGCCCTGTGTTCCTCTTTGTGCCTGACGGCCTCCCGGTCCCCGCCACCCACCCAGAAAGTGCCATCTGATGGACAATCCGTCACCAATTCGGCTTCTCGCCATCTGCCGAGCCGCCCCGCCCGCCCGCAGAGGGGCCAGCGTCACATCTGTGCCTGCAGCGCTTTTGTGCCTCACAGCCAGGCAGTCCACAGCCTGCTGCCCAGCGGTCCACAGGGCAGAGCACCCCGCCCACCCCACCCACCCAGCCCACCACCCCTGGGAATTCGGCTACAGCACTTTTCTTAGCACAGCTTGTCTCGGGAGAGGAGTCTGTTTTGGAGAAAAAAGGTTGGGGAGGGAGATTGTGGGGGGCGGGGGAATGGTTACTTTTTTAGCTCTTTCTCTATCTTCTACCTCTTCCCAGTTCAACCCTAATCCTTGAAAGTGGAAGCTCAGAACCACAAGTAAACCCCAGCCACAGAGGGGTTTGGCAGAAGGATGTCTCTACTTTCACCTAGGGGTTCTCATTAAGAGGAAGAGGTGATGGTAGGACCCCTTTGCTCATCTCTCCCTGGCAGTCCTTCACTCTCAGCAGAGTTGCTCTTCTCACTCCCCAGACTGCAGACTCCTGGAAGGAAAACTCGCCAATTCTTAAAGGCCCCCAAGTGCCTAGCACCAGGTCTCCACAGCCCTAACAAAGCCACGCTCCTGCTGATAGCTATGGGGACCCCAACAGCAAAATGTGAACTTCAGGAATTCTTTGAAAGGGAACGGAGGGGTGGGGCATGAGGAGAGGAGGAATGCAGAGAGAACAAGCTGGAGGAGGAGAAGGAAAAAGAACCCTGAGGTAAAAACGGGCACTGGCCCAGAAGCACATAGACTTTGGATATATGTATGTGTATTTGGATATTTGAGTAGGTTTATGTGAGTGCCTGGGAGCGCTGCTCGCTCTGCAGTGACCCCTTCTGGCGGACAACTAGAGATGCAGTTGCTGGCTCAGTGTGGGTTGCTGCTGCCAGGAGGTGGGGTTAGTTAGGGCTGGGAGCTTGAAGGTAAAGGAAACTAGAGACTGGGATCCACCTCTCCCATCCCCGCCTGCCTCTCAAAACCCCCCACTGCCCTTGGCTCTCAGGCCCCATGTCCTGACATTTTCATTACAAAGCCTTTGAGAGCTGGCTCTGCAAGCAGCCTGGGATATTTAAACTCAGCCTTAAATCCTGACATTTGGGGTGGGAACTGAGTCACCTGCATGGAAGAGGTACCTGGGCCTCTACCTCCATAAGATCAATGAACATTTCCCAGCCAGTTCCAGTGGGAAGTTCCTGCAATATTGATACAGTCTCTGTTGGCATAACATTACCTCATTTGATACCTAAACAGTACAATATGGCTAATCATTGTCCATCAGCATTAAGAGACATCTGGATATTGACAGTCTGGACCCATTTCAAAAAATCCAGTGAGCAATAAATAATTCAAATAATTACCGGGATAATATGAAATATGATAATGAGGCCAATTCATCTTTCTGTGCCTTTAAAAAGGATCAGACTAAATTATTCAAACTACAGAATTCTGTATTTCTTCATATAGACATTTGGGGTCAGGGGGGGGGGAATGATTTCCTTGCTCAAGGTTTACCAATCCTCACTTCTTGAAGGCTATACGTAGTGACTAATCTGAATCCCACCCTGCTGTTTATTATCCATTCTTCTCCTAGAAGATAGGTAGACACGGGTTCAAATGCCCTGGACTAACACAGATAAACCAGGAATTCTCCTTCCCTAGTTGCATAATTTCCAAGATTCTACAAGACAAATACATTCATTGCTGTCTCAGATAAAAATAGCTTCAGTTATCAAGTCTATGTCACTGCGTTCTAGTCACCACTTGCATACTATATGTGTGTCACATGTGTAGCACAAAGTAAAGAGACTAGTATAATGAGTCCCTGTGTACCCATTTCCAATTTCAACCATTAAAATACATAGTTGATTTTTTAAAAATCCCCACCTGAGGCCATGTTTAGAGAGAGGAAGGGAGAAAGAGAGAGAGAGAGAGAGAGAGAGAGAGAGAGAGAGACAGAGACATCGATTGGTTGCCCTCCGTACATGCCCCTACTGGGGACCCAACCCACAACCCAGTTATGTGCCCCCAACTAGGAATCAAACTGGCAACCTTTTGGTGCCCAGGATGATATTAAACCAACTGAGTCACCATGTCCAGGCTACAGTTGACTTTTTTTTTTTTTATCTCCCTCTGACCCACTTTCCACACTCCCAAATTATTTTGAAGCAAATTCAAACATTGCATTAGTCCAGTTGTAAATACTGCAGGATTATCTCTAAAAGATTTAAAAAAAAAACTTTTTTTTTTTTTAAAGTTTGGGGTCATTGTCATTATGATGCTAGATAATATTAACAATAATTCCTTAATATCATCAAATAGTCAATGTTTACTCTCTTGTGTTTTTTAAAAGATTTTTTATTGCTATTTAGAGAGAGAGAGAGAGAGAGAGAGAGAGAGAGGGAGAGAAACATTAATGTGAGAGTGAAACATCAATTAGCTGCCTCCTGCATGTCCCCTATTGGGAATCCGGCCAGCAATGTGGGCACATGACTTGAACCAGGAATTGAACCAGCAACTTTTCAGTACATAGGTGATGCCCAACCAACACTAACCAGGTCTCTGTCTTCTTTTTTCTTTTTTAAAATATATTTTATTGATTTTTTATAGAGAGGGAGAGGGATAGGGAGTTAGAAACATCGATGAGAGAGAAATTGATCAGCTGCCTCCTGCACACCATCCACTGGGGATGTGCCCGCAACCAAGGCACATACCCTTGATCGGAATCAAACCTGAGACCTCTCAATCCACAGGCCGACACTCTATCCACTGAGCCAAACCGGTTTCGGCTTATTTTTTCTTAGAAACTTGGTTGTTTGTCTAGTACAGTTTCCCATAACCTGACTTTTCCTAATTGCACACCTGTGGCATCAATAACACGTTTCTCTAAGCCCTTGATTTCCTGTTAAGTGACTGTAAGATCTAGAAAGTTTAATCAGATTTAAGTTTAAAAGAAATTTCACCAGGAGGTTAATAATTTATGACTTCTCCTTTTCTTGTGATGCTAGCTGACACTGAGGATCTCTGCCTAATTTACGAATTTATTAGAGGTCAAAAAATGGTGGTGAGCTCCAAGCTATCATTCATTTTTCATGGATTAGCTGGAACACTTCTAGAGAGAAATACCCCCTCATCAACTATTTGGGTAACTCAGGGTCCGAATAGTACAGAAAAAGCAGAATAGAAACATGACCCTTTCTCTTTATTTACTGGTTTAAAAAATAGAGAGATGGTGTGCTGACATCCTCACAAGGTAGTACTGCGTGTGTTTCTTTATCCTTCAGATAAACGCAGATCTAAATGTATTTGACACGCTGCAGTTCATTGTGTTAGTATTCTCAATGCTGAAACTGTCTGCTCGAAGCCCGGACAGCCTATTTGATTGATTCCCAAGCCCTCTGGCACCAGAGAAGCCTTTGACGGCACTCTCTTTTTCTGCCTGCCAAGACGTTCCGAGCTCAACTCACAAATTTCCTGCCCAGACCTGGAACCGGCCATTCCTCCAAACATCCTTCAGTGGGTGCCCAGGCTGTTCACCTCTATTAGGTTGTTACTGTTTCTAGGACTTTTAGAGAAGAGACCTAGGAAATTTTATTTGAGGACAAAAGGTATATATTATGACTTTCTACTGATAATTTCCTCTCCAATAAGGGCTGCAGGCTTGCCCCATTAATCATACATCTTATACTTGTATCTCCTGTACACCATGCCAAAAATCCGAGTTTAGTGACACCAACATAATTGCCCATTTCCTGACACCAACATAATTCCCCAACATAAATGGGCAATTATGTTGGTGTCACTAAACTCGGATTTTTGGTCACTAAACTCATCACAATTCACACACACCCCTTTCAGAACCATGCTTAGACTATTACCTAGAATGTGACTGTTAAAATTAGTTTAAGATTTTTTTTTTTTTACTACTCACTTGGGTGTATATTCAAATTACTATGTTTTAAAGTCAACTGGAATAAAATCACATTAAGGTTTATTAACTTTGCCTTTTGATTTTTGGAGATTGCTTTTAAATATAGCTTTCTTTTTTAATTATGTAAAATATTGACATGGCTC